GTCCACTGGGTGAAGCAGCTCACAACATTATTCAGACAAGTTAAGCACCTTGCTGAAAAAGTTAAAAAATTAGCCTAAATAGCAATAGGACTTAGACTTCTATACCACTTCACAGTGCTTGACAGCCCTCTCTAAGCGGTTTACAGAGTCAGCCTATTGCCCCCAACAATCTGGCTCCTCATTTTACCCACCTCGGAAGGATGGGAGGCTGAGTCAACCTTGAATTAGTCAGGATTGACCTCCTGGCTGTGAGCAGAGTTTGCCTGCAATGCTTCTATTCCAGGGGTGTCAACCTGGCGGCCCATGGGCCCGATGCATTATATGCTGATCACGCCCACCCCAACTCTGCGGATGGGGAAAACATCGCAAAATATGATGTGACAGAAATATGATGCTGCGAGTTTGACATCCATGTTCTATTCTAACCACTGCATCACCACAGCTCTAAATATAATATGTGAATAAAACTGAAACAGGTACCAGCAAAATATCCCAGTCCTAACTGTAATGCCTTTGAAATATCGTACATTGATCTAACTATATTATTATGGTTGGCTGCAGTCAGCCAGATGTTTAGGTTCAATTTGGCGTTGAGTCCTTCCCAAGGATTTGGGATAGGCAGATATTGTTTGACGGTGTTATTGTTGCAGGATGTAAGCTAGTATTATGATTGGTTGCATAGTCAACCAGGTGTTTAGACTGGATTTAGCATTTTTTTTGGCCAATCAGGCACTTTCTAATGACCTGGGATGGGCAGATGTTGTTTGATGACGTTGAAGGTATCATTGTAGGCAGGGTATGATCACACTAGTGTCATTATTTCACTCATGGTGTTAAATGCTGTCTCAAGATGTTCTTCCTGTTAAGGGCACCCATGGCTATGTGGGAAGAGGTCAAAATCTGCAAGATGGTGGGCATCCTGCCTTCATCCTTCCTTTCTAGCTAAAGAGTATCTGTAAAAAAAACTCTGGGTGGGAATTGTGAACCAGATTTGGGCACAAGAAAGAAGTATCTTTGTGGTGGAAGCTCTGGAGCAAGTGGGCCAACATATCCTCGGAGACAACTGGCTGCAGATTTGAGTAGACATCTTTCAAGGAAACCTACCTAGGCAACAATTTAAAAATGGGCCGATTGATAGCTCAGGTGTAATAATGAGTGTTAGACAAGGAACAAATAGGTGAGACAAGAAACCAAATGAATACAGCTGCTGCTCAACTTATAACCATTCACTTAGTGATTACAACAGTTACAAGATCAATGGAAAAAGTGACTTAAGATTGTTCTTCACACTTACGACCCCTGCAAGCGTCCCCACGGTCACAGGATCAAAATTCAGATCCTAGATTACAGATTAGAGTTGGAAGGGACCTTGCAGGTCATCTAGTCCAACCCTCCCTCCTGCCCAAGCAGGAGACCCTACACTAGATACTTGGCAACTGATTCATATTTATGATGGATGCAGCATCCTGGGGTTGTGTGATCACCTTTTGCAATCTTCTGACAAGCCAAGTCAATGGGAAAGTCAAATTCATTTAACAACCATGTTATTACCAGTAATAACCGAAGTGATTCACGTAACAAATGGAGTAAAGCTCATGTAACAACTGTCTCACTTAGCAACATAAATGTTGGGTTCAATTGTGGTAATAAATCAAGGATTACCTGTTGTGTCTCTCAAACACAGCAACTTTTAAGATGTATATGAACTTCCCCAGCCCAGTAATTTTTGGCAAAAAAAGGTAAGTGAGTCTTGTCATCTCCCAACACCTAATCCAATCTGATCCTGTTTAGTTTTCTGAGTTTGGCCAAAGTCATTTTATTGAGAAATAATTCTGAAATTAACTTCCTTCCAGGAATCAACTCACCGGCAGGCTATATTTTATTTATTCAAGATAAAAACAGTCCTTTGGAGGATGTCTCTTATTCAAACTTTATTTCTGTTTCAAACACTGAGATGTGGTTGCTTAGTTTTTACCAATGTATGTAACTGTGGCTCATTCACTCCGGAGCCTGAGAAAATCAGACTAAAAAAGGGCAGTTTTTAAAATTAAAAAAATGGAGAGAGGAAACAGCTGTGAACAAAGGTTTTCAACTTTTGACAGTTCTGGATCTTGCTGTGCGCTAATCAGATGTAATGTCCTCTATTTGATCCCTGTTGCTTCGGAGATGAGTTCTGCATCCTCAGAGGATTATTATTTTTGTTATTATTTTGTTTTTCAAGTCTCATTCCTGATGGAAATTTCCCATAGCACAGTATAATAATTTAGAACTGGTAAACATAGATTTTGTGGATCATCCAAATGTTAACTCTTTCTGAGGTATTTTGTTGGGATTGATTACACCCACAAGACCTTTAGAATACATTAAGACTATTACTGATCTAGCTGATTTTTCAGTCTTAGAGAGATTCAGATTCATTTTGCAAAAAGGCTTCCAAACATACAGAGGTGAATTTTATTCCTATCCTGATGGAAGTTTTTCAGAGGGCGTCTATACGATCTGAGAGAAGATGCAGGTATTTTAATGAAACATGGGAAGTTGCTGCTTTGGTCTCCCTTCTTTTCTAGAGATGTCTGTGGAGGGGGGAGTCAAAAAAGGTCAAAATGGAAGCTATGATTACAGGTTTGGGACCTCTATCTAAGTTTTTTTGTCAGTCCCCCCCTCAGTTGACCTTAAACTTTTCAAAATTAATTTTAAAATTTAGCACAGATAATTTAAAGAACAAGTAACTGACACCTATCCTGTTTTCCCCAAAATAAGACCTATCCCAAAATATAAGCCCTAGCATGGTTTTATGCGACTAATATTAAGCCCTACTCCAGAAATAAGCCCTACTTAAGCATCTGCACCGCCGGCCAGCCACCCATTCCTTTGGATTGCTCATGGTGCTAATGACATGAGGTGAGGCGAGAAGGGATGGTGGAGCTGCCCCACACACTCCACACCTCAGGGCCCCCCTAGCCAGGTCATCCACATCTTGACAACTGCCTCGTGACCACAGCACCAGATCGCCACTCGGTCTTCTGTTCCGTTGAGGCTGCGAGAAAGCAGAAGTGGGCCGGCAGCCAAGTGAGGTCCTGCTGGATGGGGCTGCTGGAGCCACTGCCATGAGGCAAGGCATGTGTCGGGGTGTGGATGGCCTAGTTGCAGGGCTGCTGAGGTAAGCCAGTGGGTGGGCACGTGGGGCAGCTGCAACCCCCGCCCCATGACAGCAGCACTGGCACGCTGCACGGCCTCCTGCCCCACCATGAGCAAGCAGAAGTGGGCCTCCCACACGAGGAAAAAGCAAGACATCCCCCCAAAATAAGCCCTAGTGCTTATTTCAAAACCAAAAATGGAATAAGATTGGGTTTTATTTTCGGGGGGAAATGGGTAAACAACTATATATTTACAATCCATTTTTATAGCCACCCAACAGCCTCCATCATCAGATCATATTTGACACGTGGCAGATTATGAAACGGCAGCATAATTTTTGTGAGGAGTTAAAAAGATATGTTGTTTCTTCTGGCAACCCTTTATGGACTTTCTGCTGACATCAGGAGTGAAAAGATGTTTTATGGATTTGTTTATAGATAAGAAATGGGATATGGGATAAAAGGTTGTAACCTTAAGGGAAGTGAATAGTTGCTAAATTTGTTTATACTTGTAATGATTGGAAGTCGCTTCTTTGTTTATTTATGCTCTCTTTATTTCTTTTCTTACTCTTCGTCCTTGAATGTTTTACTCCTATCCCCTTTTCTTTAAGATTAGTTTATATTATAGTATTATAATCCAATTTTTTAATAAAAATAACTTAAAATTTTTCTGAGGAGTTGAAAATAAGAACTAAAATGCATCCATTAAAGAGGCAGCAGTTTTTTTCTTTTTAAGAAAACAAAGGGATATTAAACCTGATACACAGGAAAGAAGTGTGTTCAAATTTTTGGCCACAGCATCTCTAATGAAGTTACCCCTCTAATTGCTCATCCGACCCTTTCAGAGATTGGTTAGCTGAACCCAAACTTCTGTGCCTTTCTTAAATAATATATTCCAGCCCAGTGGTGGGATTCAAATTTTTTTACTACCGGTTCTGTAGGTGAAGCTTGGTGGGTGTGGCATCACTTGGTGGGCATGGTGTGGTGTGGCGGGCATGGTTTGGTGGGCGTGGCAGGGGAAGGATACTGTAAAATCCCCATTCCCTCCTCACACCTGGGGGAAGGATACTGCAAAATCCCCCATTTCTTCCCTACCCCACTAACCTGCTTTCCAGCTCCACTCTCCTGTGCACGGCAACAAAAGAAGATCCAGCCAATCAGCTGGGACTCAGGAGGCAGAGAATAAATGGGGGTGGGGCCAGTCAGAGGTGGGATTTGCTGGTTCTCCAAACTACTCAAAATTTCCACTACGGGTTCTCCAGAACTGGTCAGAACCTGCTGAATACCCACCTCTGTTCCAGCCCCAATTTAAAGTATGAGCTTTAAATTGTCCCCTTCCCATTATTTTTAAACCATGTTTGAACTGTATAATCTTTAAAGCAGGTTTTTCCCAATCAGAAATTTCCCCAGGTTGCACACCTCATAGCAGAAGGCCAACTGTTGGTAATGTCAGCCTTTTGAGGTGGACCAGATTACGAAAGAACAAGAAGTCTAAAACTGACCTTTATTAAGGTTGCATTAAGGCAATTGTGTTAAGTCTGGTTAAGCTTTTTCTCCACCGCCTCTTTTACCTCAGTTCACTGTCTCACAAATTTGGCAACATTAAGACATGTGGACTTCAACTCCCAGAATTCCACAATCAGCATGGCAAGCTGGGGAATTATGGGAGTTGAAGTTCACAGATCTTAATGTTGCTAAAGTTGAAAAACACCTCCCCATGAGTCATGGAGAAATCAATCTAAATCCCTTTTTGAATTATTCTTCTTTCCAGGATTTAAGGAAAGCTTGTGTCCTTTTTATTGATAGTTTCTGAATTTTTCCTTCAAGGCCACCTCGCTAGATGTATATAGGCAATTATTTGGGGTTTAGTGCAGTGGTTAAGTTGCTGGCCTAGAAACCAGGAGGTGGTGAATTCTAATTCCACCCTAGGCATGAAATCTGGCTTGGTGACTCCAGGCTAATCACCAGGAAGCTGTGAGTTCTAGTCCAGTCTTAGACACAAAAGCCAGCTGACTGACTTTGAGTCAGTCACTCTCTCTTAAACCACCTTACACGTTTGTTGTTGTGAGAAAAATAGGAGGAGTTAGGGTTATATTTGTCACCCTATTGGTAAAAATAATACAGGAGGATAATAATCAAATAAATAAATTATGGTAATTATAGGGCTTAGGACGTGCCTTAGGATGCAAAGGTTTAGTGCAGTGGTCAATAACAAATGCAGTAACATACCGTGTTTCTCCAACAATACGGCCTCCCCCAATAGAAAGTCCCAGCATGTTTTATAGGCATAAAATCAAATTAAGCCCCACCCCCCCCAAATTAAGGCCTATATTAAACATGCAAAATGGGGGGAATGGCAGGGGGGGCCTTGCCGTTAGGAAACACTTTTGTTGCATACCCGGATATGGTGCTGCCTGCGTTGACTTCGGTGTTGGTGGGACACTTCATATCAGGAGACCTTCTGCCATCATTGCTTTCCTTTCTCCCCTTGCTGCCGGCGTTTGGCGCAGCCACGCGTGGCCAGCCAGGGCTCCTCCCTGCAACCGGAGCCCGGCAGAGACACTCGGCTTCAGGCGCTCCTGTCACTGCCTTCCCTTCGCCTTCGAAGGCAAAGCCAATTCTTTTAAAAACGACACCCTACTACTGGTTCGACAAAGCCTCCACCCGACAAGAATAATGTTCAAGAATAAATCCGAAAAATGTTGGAAATGTCATCAGATACCTGGCTCATATTACCATATGTGGTGGACTTGTGCGGATGCTAAAAATACTGGACTAAAATCCACACGTGGTTGATAAAAATGACAAAAAAGAATATAGATTTGAAACCAGAAATATTTTTATTGGGAATTTTACCTGAAATATATAGTAAAGACTTGAAATACCTGATTGTAAATGTATTAACAGCGGTTAGGATTGTATTTGCTAAAAACTGGAAAATGAGAAAATACCATCACAGGAGGAAATCATTAAGAAAATATTGGAATGTGCTGAAATGAGTAGATTGACATTTGAAATTTGAGAACAAGATGATAAACAATTTTATAAAATTTGGGATCTATTCTATCAATGGTTAGACAATAAAATATAGTAATGAAATATGTAGACTTTTAGAAAATAATAAATATATAAAGATGTATTCTTTTCTAATTATATCTACAAAATGATTCTAGGATAGATCAGGGACGATGATACAAATTGTTATAAAACAAATTAAGTAAAATATGATCATTTTGGAAAACATGAATGAATAAAAGTATAGTCAAATGATTGATTAATAATGATATTAATGTATTTAATATATTGATTGAAAATATGAGATTATATACAACGTAATTACAATTGAAGACTATGAAATGGAAGCACAAAACAATTTGTAAACCAACCGGCACACTGTATGTCCATATATGGAAGATGATTTGATGTTTTTATGTTTTGTTTGTTTATGTTTGTTTTAAAAACCAATAAACATTTATTTAAAAAAAGCCTCCCCTGCCTGAGAGGGCAGCCCAACCCCACGTGGGGAGGTGAATCTCCCGGGGCCACAGCACAGGATCAGCCCACCCCGGGAGAAGCGCCCAGCCACCATCCCTGCCTGGCGCCGGGCAGAGCGCGAAGAGCTTCGCCTGGGGCACCCAGCGCAGCTGACAGGCAGGCCCTCCTGCACAGTGGCGGAGCTCTCGCCAAGGCAGCGAGTGCCTCCTTGCTGGGCCCTCCGCTCATCCCGCCAGGCTGCGCCAGAGCCGTGTGGGCTGGGCAGAGCCGGGAAAGCGAGCTGCGGGTGCGCACCCACCTGCCAAGCGAAAGAGCTGGGCCGACCCGAGCTTGGCTTTCTTCCCAAGTCCATCCAGCCCAAACCTAAAGGGGCCACTGGGAGAGGCTGCCCAAGGCAGTGATAGCACCCACCCATCCACAGACAGGGAGGCGAGACGACGGCTGCGTTGCTTCCATGGCTGGCAGGTCCAGCGAAGAGAGCCCGAAGCCGCCCGTCCTTTCCATCCCTCGCCCAGCCCGTCCCAGTCCCCACCCATCTCCAAATTCACCGGCAGCCCCAAATGCTGCAGCGGCATAGGCATCGGGCAGAGGTGCTTACTAGTCAGGGCTCAGCTTGGAGGAGGACGCCTTGCCTCCCTGTCCACGGATGGGTGGTCACTATCACTGCCTCGGGCGGCCTCTCCTTGTGGCCCCTTTAGGTTTGGGCTGGAGGGACTTGGGAAGGAAGCCAAGCTCGGGTTGGCCCGGCTCTTTCGCTTGGCAGGCGGGCGCACACCCACGGCTCGCTTTCCTGGCTCTGCCCAGCCCGCACAGCTCTGGCGCGGCCCTTGCGAGATAAGCAGAGGGCCCAGCGGGGAGGCGCTCGCTGCCTTGGCGAGAGCTCCGCCGCTGGGCAGGAGGGCCCACCTGTCAGCTGCACTGGGCGCCCCAGGTGAAGCTCTTCACACTCTGCCCAGCACCAGGCAGGGATGGAGGCTGGGTGTTTCTCCTGGGGTGGGCTGATCCTGCGCTGCGGCCCTGGGAGATTTGCTTCCCCACGTGGGGTTGGGCTGCCCTCTCGGGCAGGGGAGGCTTTGTCATACCAGTAGTAGGACATCATTTTTAAAAGAATTGGCTTTGCCTTTGAAGGCAAAGGGAAGGCAGCAACAGGAGTGCCTGAAGCCAAGTGTCTCTGCCGGGCTCTGGTTGCAGGGAGGAGCCCTGGCTCGCCACACGTAGCTGCGCCAAACGCCGCAGTGTTGCTCTAAACACCGCGGCAGCATGGGGATAAGGGAAAGCAACGGAGGCGGAAGGTCTCCCGATACGAAGTGCCCCACTAATGCCAAGGTCAACATCCAAGCCGTCACCGCCCGCCCGACAATGCAAGTGGGGGGGGGAATTAAGTCACCCCTGAAAAGTCAGCCTAGCTGTTTTTTCGGGAGTCAAAAAAAAAAAAGGCCCGGCCTTATTTTGTGAGAAACACGGTAGTAGGTTCAGCAAAAAAAGTATCTGCATTTGTTATTGATTGGAAACCACTTATGGACTTTTTGCATGAAGAAAAAACTTGAATTATGGATTATTGGATTTGGTCATTAGACAGAATAGATTATAAGGAAGAGAATTTTATTGAAACCATCCAGTAAGAAATAACTTAATAATTGTACAGGTATTTATAACTGTTGTAAAGATCATCAGAAAGTACATTTTGTATTATTTTTCTTTTTTCTCTGTCTTTCTTCTACTCCCCCCTCCCCACACACTTTCTTGCACTTACAGCTTTTTCTTTTCTTTCCTTTTCTTTTTTCCCAAAGTTTGTATCAGTTTTTAACTTTTTAAACAATCTTAAATTATTCAGACAAAAAAGTATGGTTCGTAAAGTCCAGATGCCAGTCAGAAGGGTGGAAACAAACCTCCACCTATTATTATGCATGACACAGAGCTTCAATTGTATTGCCATAACACAATTTTGACATTTTTGGACTACTACTTCCTGCCAGTTGCGCCTGCCAAAATAACTGTGGTACACTTGGACTAGATTCCATAAGATCCACTTCCATCTCAGCGACTTTCAGCCAGGCATTCTCTCTCAATTCTACCTACCTCACAGGGTTGTTTTAATGAGAAAAATGCAGCCTTGAGCTTCCGAAAGGAAAATGGGACATACATTTTCAGGGCTGTAAGAAATATTTCTGTCAGTGAGCCTGGGGACCCAGGGTGATATTGAGCCCATCGAGTGATTGATCCAATTGGGAAGGGTTTTATTGGACCCATGCTCTAAGCCTCCCAGAGCCACCACGAGTGAATTGGGTTGCCACATATATTTTCTTAGTGAATAAACAAAATACACCCAACAAATTATCTTCCTTATAACTGTAGCAGGGCTATTATACCCAAGAAAGTTAGAACCCATCTTTAGTTGCGTGGATGACAGGTTGGATTTTTCCCAGCTGCTATGCCTTTTTATTTTTAATTTGTTGTTTATATTGAGCATATTTATGTGTTTTTTTAATTTATTGTGGCTTTAAAAAATATGTTGTGTATGTTGTATTTTTAATTTATCTTATTTTAAGCTCACGTAAAAATGAGATGGCTAGCCATATAAATAGAATAAAGAAAAAAGAAAACAGCTTAAAAATGTCTCAGATTCTCTTTTTTAAAAACATTTCCGTTTCCACAAAGGATATTACCTCATCCCAGTTCTTATTTTTGAATTTAAACCTATCAATGGATTTGCCCAGCCCAATTGAATCAAAATGATATGTAAAAGGCCTACATCAGCTGAGTATAATGGTGGCTTGCAATGGATAATCTGGTGGATAAGCAGATCTGGATATTTGCAGATCCCCTGAGGAATCCCATGAATGGCAAATGGGATTGAAACGGATGAGTTCAAATTGATGCAGGCACACCTGAGTCCTTGACATATAACTGTGTCATATAACCATGACATATAACTGTGTCATATAACCATGACATATTGTATAAGCATGCATAAGTGCACAATTGTGCCTACTGTCCCTGTCCTTTTGTCCCCATTTATTCGTACCTATTTCCTGTATCCTTACTCATGTTTATTCTTATGCTTATTATCTTGTAAGCGATTGACAAATCAAATAAATAAATAAATAAAATATAGCTGTGATGGTGCTTGTACATTAATACTCGTATGTCATAATGATTGTAAAAGGAGTCAGTCCCATGACTGACCTAATTTTATGACCTTTTTTGCCGCAGCTATTAAGCGAACCTTGTAGCTGTTAAGATTACCAATGGTTTACAAAAAGCGCAATTTTGGCAAAAATAGGAAGCGTCAGTTTTCACAAAACCGATGTAATATGTGGTCGTGTGACTGCAGGGCCCTCAATGCAGCTGTGAAATTCAGTCACATGACCGTAGAGGAGGCCTCACCATTGGAACTTTGGAACTGTGTGGTAAAGTCCCCTTTTTCAGGTTGTTTATAACTT